TGTGCCCAAGATCCCAAGAGGAGAATGGAGGAGAAGGGATTGTGGCGTGGCCATCCCCCATGGCGGGTGATTTCTCGCTTTCTGTCTCTCTGTCTCTCTCTGTCTTTCTGGTGAGAGCATGCACCCTATAGCAAAAAACACTCAAAAAAATAATAATAAATTTTTTTAAATGTAGTAAGTTAGCTCATCATAGAAATTTTTTATTCTTTAGCCACTTGTACTGTGTATTTATTTACTACCATACTTTAAAATGTCTTATATTTACATAGTTATTTTTATATAAATGTTTTCTCTTTTTTTGGGAGAAGTTTTTGCTATAGGTTCTTCTGTGCACTCACCAGAAAGACAGAGAGAGACAGAGACAGAGAAAGCAAGAAATCACTTCCCAAGATGATGGCCATGCCACAATCGCTTCTCCTCCATTCTCCTCTCAGGATCTTCGACATGCACGCACACGCGTCCGGCGTGAGTTTAAGCCATCGGGTCCAGGACTCGAACTGCGGTTGACTACATGGGAGTCCAGCAACATAGCCATTACCCTAACTGCTACTCCTGATTATTATTATTATTTTTTTTAATTTTATTGAAGTGGTTTCTTTCTTTCTTTTTTTGAAAGAATTACTTTATTTAACCTTATTTATTTATTTTAATTTGACTAGAGAGGAACAGAGCGAGAGCGAGAGAGAAGAGAAAGCAAGCCACCAGGCCCGGGACTCGAACCGCAGTCAGCCATGTGGGACTCCAGCGTCTTTAACCACCATGCCACCTGCTGGCCCCATTGGTCCCAATTTCTATATAAATGTTTTGTGTTAACATATATACATGTCATAATGGAGTTCATAATTCTAAATGTTTCGTATTAATTTATTTTATTTACTTAAAATCTCTTAAACTAGGGACCAGCAGTTAGTGTAACGGCTATGCTGCTGGACTCCCATGTAGTCGAGCGGTTTGAGTCCTAGACCCAGTGGCTCACACCGGGTGCATGCTTGCATGCCCAAGATCCCAAGAGGAGATTGAAGGAGAAGGGATTGTGGCGTGGCCATCACCCCTGGGGGTGATTTCTTGTTTCTGTCTCTCTGTCTTCCTGGCAAGCACACACGCCCTATAGCAAAAATCTCTCTCTCAAAAAAAAAAAAAAAAACTCTTAAACTATATGAATGAGAAAAACTCAACCAGGACTTAATGTATAAGTACACATACTTAGAAAGAGAATTCAAAACAAATTCAAAAATTCAAAACGACTTTGTATGTTTATTAATATTTTTCAAAGAATTATTTTATTTCTATTATTATTATTACTGTTATTAATTTGAGCAGACAGAGGCAGAGAAAGAGAGAAAGGGAAAGCGAGAAAACAAGCTGCCAGTTACGAAACTTGAGCCATAGTCAGCCATGTGGGAATCCAGCACCTTTCGGTGACACCAGCTGCCAGCACGAGATGTTTATTACTATTTATAAGTATGCCTTAGTGACAACTCCCTAAGGAGCTATTGAGTAGTCAGAAAAGCCATGGCACTTTTTTTTTTTGGAGAGGTTTTTGCTATAGGGCGTGTGCGCTTGCCATAAATACAGAGAGAGACAGAGACAGAAAGTGAAAAATCACTCCCCCGGGGGGATGGCCATGCCGCAATCCCTTCTCCTCCATTCTCCTCTCAAGATCTTCGGCACGCACACATATGCCCCTGGAGTGTTTAAGTCATTGGGTCCAGAACTCAAACCGTAGTTGACTACATGGAAGTCCAGTGACATGGCCCGTGATACATTTTTTTAAAAAGTCATGACTTTTCTCACTGACCAATGTATGCTTGAAGAGAGACTTTCACATGGAAGAAAGTACCTGGGATCAGAGTTTTAATCTGCTTGAACCGACCGTTTATCTGGACAATTCAAGGAATGGAATCTCTGCTAAGAGTTTCATAAGCTATGTGGCCCTACTCACAATCTACAATACAGTTACTAACTATGGGGTCAGCGGGAAAGGCACAGTGCAATTTTGGACAGAAAAACATAAAAATACATCGTGACTTTCCCCAACAACCTAATGATTAACATCATCTACCCTAGGTAACACCATACAAAGAAACTGAAAAAACATCATATAATTCATTTCAAGTTTTCTATGAACAGATTATTTGTATATTATGGGAATCAAATCATCCAAAAATTGTCCTTTGGATTGGAGAACATATTCATGTCCTTTAAATAGGGAAAATTACTCAGCAACTGGACATAACTGGGAATCAAATACACAAGCTTTTTTTTCCCCAAAGATTTATTTATTTATTTAAATGTATTCATTATTGTTATTATTATTATTTTATTTGACCACAGAGAGATACAGAGAGCAAAAGAGAAAGTGAGAAAGCAAGCCACCAGGTCTGGGACTTGAACCAGTGGGCCATGTGGGAGTCCAGCACCTTCACTACCATGCCAGCTGTTGGCCCCACAAATATACAATCTTATATTTGACTTGATAAAGGATCAAGCTTTCAATGTTAGGTCTTTTTTTAAAAAAAGAATAATTTATTTAATTTTATTTATTATTATTTTTTAATTTGAGAATTAAAAAAGAAAGAGAAAGAGACAGACAGAGAGAGAGAGAGAGAGGAGAGAGGGAAAGTAAGAAAGCAAGCCGCTGGGTCTGGGACTTGAACCACGATGTGGGAGTTCAGCACCTTAGGTAGCATGCCTCATGCCGGCCCCTATGTTAGATCATCTTGTTCAGGAAAATAGGACTGTAACAGAGAGAATACTTTCTAAAGGCAATGGATCAACTACCAGTAGGAAGAACCCCTGCTACTGTAGTAGAGTGGAGTGGTAATTATAAGAGTCTACCATCCTCATTTTCCACTATCACCCCCAACTCATCAGGTCAATTGTCTAGGTTACCTAGCACGACTTGTTTGGCACAGTGCCTGAGCACCAGCTGCAAACAGAAATAAACATAATATATTTAACATGTTCAGTGTTTTACAAACATAATTTGGGGACAGGATGGCTTTTTCAGTTTCCTTCTAAGTCTTGAAAATATCCCACTTATTGTCCACCTGTCTCATGTTTCATAAGGATTCCCAGCCAGTTCACAGGTGTTTTGCTTCTCAAAAAGATTTTTAAGTTCCATAAAAACGAAACTCTCTCTTATCCTACTTTTGTCTCCATCTAAACCCTATTTCTCCCCTCCAAATAATGAATACATATTAACCGATAAGTACTTATAGAACACTGGTATGAAGATAGAGCAAATATATCTCTATTTTCAAATAACTACTGAAGTCAGCTCCTTCACTGCTCACGCTGGTCCTCACGTGGTGAAGTCTGCTCACACCACTGGCAGAGTCTCATCTCCAGCCCCCGAAGGGAGTGGACGCCACGGCACTCAGGGTCTTTGCTTTAATGTGCTCTCCATGCTTCTTCTTGCTAAGGGCAGCAGACACTCCTACTGTCAATTCTAGCATTCCTGAGCAAGCTAACTTCGGTCCTCCCCTCCTCACTCCCCTGTGACGCCCCGGCTTTATTAAACTCTTAACCCTAGGACTAAGAAAGAAAAAGAAAAAGGGAAAGAAGACAGGAATAAGAAAAAATACATATGCATAGATGGAAAGAAGGAAGAAAATAATACAAAAGTAGATGTCAAAGAGTAGTAAAATGAATAGAAGAGGTCTGAAAAATGATCTGGCTTAGAATACTGTGACCAGAGAAAATTATGCAAATATCTAATTCTCTCTTTATATTTTTTAATAATCTGTTAGAGAATGCCTGCACTTGCAGGAGAGAGACAGAGAGAGGGAAAGTGAGAAAGCACCACAAGGAGGCGGTCACACAGGAATCCCTTCTCCATTCTCCCTCGTTTCAGGGTTTTGGGCATGCACATGTGGGTCTGGCCTTGTTTTTCAAGCCTGTGGGTTCAGGATGCAATTCAGACAGACAGCATGTGGGTTCCAGCTGCCTAAACTACCATGCCACTGGATGGCCCTCTAATTAATTATCTTTTAAAAACTAGTTTGGGGGCCAGCAGTAGGTATGGTGGTTAAGGTACTAGACTTCCACATGGCTGACTACAGTTCGAGTCCCAGACCTGGCAGCTTGCTTTCTCATTTTCCCTCTCTCTTTGGTGAGTGCATGTGGCCTGTAGAAAATTTAAAAATAGTAATAAATATAAATAAAATTAAATAAATAAATAATTATTTTTAAAAAAATCCTAGTTTTATCATGACAGCAGGTGGTGTGGTTGTTAAGGTGCTGAATTCCCACATGGCTGACCATGGTTCAAATCTCAGACCCAGCCACTTAAAAATCATGCCAGTATCAAGTGCGTGCATGCCCAGAAAACTCAAGAGAAGAACAGAGGAGAAGGAATTGTGGTGTGGTCAACCCCCTGGGGAGGTGATTTCCCACTTTACCTCTCTCTGTCTCTCTGGTGAGCACATACACACTATAGCAAAAATCTCTAAAAAAAAAATAAATAAATAAAAGAAATAATTTAAAAGGCCAGCCATGGTGGCGCAGGTAACAGGGTGTTACTATGAGAAGCTGGAGGCCATATGGGAAGCTCTGGGTTTGCATCCTGAGGTGGATCTGAGCATGCAGGCATGACCCGGGGCGCCCACAGTCTGGCCAGTTACAGCACTGGAGGAGAGTCGCAGCTGGAGGCCCTGTCCAGGATGTCCATCTCTCTCCCTCTCTCAAAGTAAACAGGTAAATAAACTCTAAAAAGAAGAAACAACTTAAACTTCACATATCAGTAAGCTGAAATATGGTATATCATTTACTCATGTGCTTTAGCAGATGATAACTAAATAAAACACTCCCTGATGAGAATGCACCATGATGTTAAGATGTTAAATTGGACATGGGTTCGTAGAGGTGTGAAATTCAGTTATCAATGAAGCATTTTTCTAAAGGTAGCTTGTTTCAGGGCTAACAAGCTCTCTGCAGTGGTAAAACAAAAAGGCAAGAGGTAGAAGGCATTGCATGAGAAGAGCATTGTGATATCTTACTTGTCTGAGGTCAATGAATGCTAGCTGCAGGGTATCCCCCTGGAATCCTGGCACAGGCTCGGAGCTGGCGAACACTATTAAAAAAAAATAAAGAGAATAAAACAGAATTGTAAAATATACAATTTAGAGTTTAGCCACTAAATTAATTTCTACTTATTACAAATGTATTCTAATATTTACACATTACCATTTTAAATGAAGATCATTCATAACCTTTCATTTCCACTACTGAGAATGTCCTCCACACCCATTACCACAAATATTTTAGTAATCTTAAACTTCTAACCTGCCATTTAATCACTGTAATGCTTAATCACAATAAATTTAGAAGGGTTATCCTACATAAAGTTCAAGAGTTGTAATATACTTCAATCAGTTGAAGTTTTCTGACTTGTTTTAGCCTTAGGTAAATGATTATAGAAGCATTTTGAAACTAGACCAATTCCACGGCTGTCAACGTATTTCAAACATCTGCTCATTACAGAAGATACCCTATTAAACGCCCACCTCTAGCTAATAGCAATAAAGGCCGACACCAAGGAACGAAGCCGGCTCTCTGTGCAGGCAACAAGTGAAATGTCCTGAGAGCCCGTTCTAAATCAGGATGATGGGTAAATGTCTGCTCATGCCTTTTAATCATCTTTTTTCATAAAGGAATCCTGAATCTTTAAAAGCTAAAATATCTTTTTTTTAAAAAGAAAGGTTACTTCTCCCATGAGAGAGGGAGACAGGTAAACAAAGAGAGAGACTGAGAGACAAAAAGGAGGAGGCAGATACAGGCACCCTTCACGGGGTCTTCATAGAACGACCCTACCCCAGCCTCGCCAGTCAGGATCAGAGGGACCTGCACCTGGCAAGTACACAGAGGCCTCAGGACATGAACTCGGGACCTTCTCATATGGCCTCAGCATCTCGGAGCACTGTGTTACTGCTATCCCACCAAGACTGGTGTAAAGATAGCTTGTTAGTTGCTGTTTGCCCGAGGGTGCGTGCACCCACTTGCAGAACACAGAGAGAGAAAATGAGAAAGCACTCCCCACCTCCCTGGCAAAAGGTCACACCGCAATCCCTTCTCCATCTCTCCCTCCTTGTGGGATTTTGGGCATGCATGCTCATGTACCCAATGTATTTTTCAAGCTACTGGGTACAGGATTCATACCACAAGGTCAGCCATGAGGGACCCAGCTGCCCTAACCACTACGTCACAGGCTAACCCATGAAAAAAATACCTTATAATTAAAAAAAAGAATTCCAGGGACAGATGTGGTGAAGCAGCAAGGATGGCCCCAAGATCAGGTTCCCCGTGGAGCCTGTGGAGCCCTCCCTGAGGAAGCCTGGAACGTGCATGTCCACACTAGAGGCTGACGAAGGCACAGGGTAGATCCAGTGATCAAGACCCTGTCGGGGTGCTGCATGTCTCTCTTCCTAATGCAAATAAAAAGAAAACTAAAAATAATTTTAAAGATTCTCTTTCAGTGACTTTCATCCTTTAAAATTTTTAATACTGGGACCAGCAGTTGGCGTAATGGCTTTGTTGCTGAACTCCCATGTAGTCGACCGGGGGTCAAGTCCCGGGCCCGGTGACTTAAACTCACGCTGGGCGTGTGTGCATGCATGCCCAAGATCCCAAGAGGGGAATGGAGGAGAAGGGATTGCGGCGTGGCCATCTCCCCTGAAGGGGTGATTTCTCGCTTTCTGTCTCTCTTTCTGGCAAGCGCATGCACCCTTTAGCAAAGAAACCTCTCTAAAACAAAATTTTTTTAATACTATTATCATAGCTTGTTTAGTTCAAGTGAAGATAATTCCATGGCTTTAAAAGCATTTTCTTCTTCTTCTTTTTGTTTTTCTTTTAAGAAGGGGCCTCTCACTGTCATGATCCTCCTGTCCCCCACCTCCCGAGTCACTGGAACTGCAGGCACACACCACCGCACCCGGCTTTGAGGGCAGTGCTGGAAATGAGCCCAGGCTCCATGGCCTAGGCTACAGGGCGGCGACATCTTACCAGAGTGCACCAGCACAGGTTGGCCACTCCAACGGGCATTTTTAAAAACACGCATTGATCCTCATCTTCTACTAAGATGTTTTAAAATAGTTTCCAGGCTTGTAAAATAATATTCATTTATTTATTCATTTATATTCACAATAGCATGTGCATGACAGAGAAAGAGAGAGAAAATACCCTTGACAGGGTCTTATGCTGTGTTCCTCTGTCTCTGGCCCTCCAGCTCATCAGGATCTTGGGCACCCCTGCACACACCTGGAGCATTTCCAAGCCAACCTGGGAATCCAGACTTGCAGTCAGCCATGACTACCATAGACTACGGCTGGTCAGTATGTGTTAAGTGGAGACATACAATGTCTCTCTTTCACAGCCTGACTTGCTTCACTCAGCAACAAGACTTCCAGAACTGCAGCTCAGTTTGTTGCCAACTGTACCACCAGGCTGGACCTAAAATAATTTTTAAAGAAAATGCTCCTTTTTTCCAGAGAGTGGATGTACTCACCAGAGACAGAGAACGAGGACAGGGAGAAAGCACCCCCATTGGGGAGTAGTCATGCCGCAATCCCTTCTCTTCCACCTCTCCATTACACAGGGACTTGGGGTGCACACACACACACTCCAGGCACGCCAGGGTGTTTTTCAAGCCACCAGGTCTGGAACTCAAATCACACAGTTTGCCATGTGGGATCTGGTTCCCTTAAACACCAGGCCATGGCCCTAAACAAAATTATTCTAAATCTTCGCCTTTTTTTTTTTTATCTTAGTGCTTCCATTTAGTCTATTTTCTTTTTTCCTCATTATTATTATGACTATTATTTGTACATTCAATCACTATATATCATTTAGATTGTAAAGAGACTTTACCCAGCATGATATACAGCTCAGTCCAGTTGAAAATACTATCTATATCCTCATCAACAGATAATAAACCATATCTGTGTCCCACAAATATCTTACCTCTCCATGTTTTCCCCCAAATTATCTTTCCTGTGCTCTTCCCCTCCCACGCTCTCCTTCCACTTTGTCTCCAGTGTCTATAATAATTTTTCATGCTTTTATGTCCTCCAGTCTTTCAGATCTACCGTAGACTGCAGATAGTCAGTATGTGTTAAGTGGAGACATACAATGTCTCTCTTTCACAGCCTGACTTGCTTCACTCAGCAACAAATCTTCCATATTCATCCGTTTTCTATCAAATTCCAGGGACTTGTAGTTTTCATGGCTGAATAATATTCCACGGAGTACATGTGCCACACTTTTTCAATCCATTCATCTTTTTGTGAACCATTTAGATTATTTTATTGAAAAAAAAAAAAACCCTCATGATATACTTGTTTCCTTTTATTTTTTACTATAAAACTTAATGATGATAAATGATTCCAAGTTTTAAAATACTCAAAAAAAGAGGGCCAACAGGTGGCATAATGGTTAAGGCAGTGGACTCCCATATGGTTGACTGCAAGTTCCTGAAATGGTGGCCTGAAAATCATGCTGCATGCATGTGCATGTATGCCCAAAATCTTGAGAGGAGAATGGAGGAGAGAGGATTGTGGTGTAGCCATCCCACCCCCACCCCTAGAGAGGGGGTGATTTCTCACTTTTCCTCTCTCTCTCTCTATCTCTCTCCAGCAAGTACTTACTCCTTATGGCAAAAACAAACAAACAAAACCTCAAAAAAGATTATAGATGAAAGTGCATGATTTCATTGGGAAGGCCTATTATAACAACTGAGCAAAGCTTTGCTATATCTGCCTAACTGGGAAAAAGAACAGTCTGAATCACTTCAGAAGACACTGAGAACAGAATACAATGCATGCTATGTAAGCTATGATGGCAAGAAAAAGTATCTTTAGGATAGGCAAACTGTAAACTTAAATATTTTAAAACTTTATTTCTTCTATGAATGAGAGAGAGAGAGAAAGAGAAAGAAAAGCCCCCCCCCTCCCCCATAGAGTCACGGTGCCATGATCTCCTGGTTGCAGCCTGCTACAGACCATATCCACATCCACTCAGGGAGGCTACGATGTGAACCCAAAACCATCCCACAAAAGAGAATAAAGAAAGAATATCTCTGTTAATGGGGCCAGCAGGTAGGGTGGAGGTTAAGGCACTGGATCCCACATGGCCAACTTCACAGCTCGAGTCCCGGACCTGGCAGCTTGAAAATCAAGTCAGGTGCATGTGCTTGTGTGTGTGTGCCCAAAACCCAGAAAAGAGACTGGAGGAGAAGGGACTGCGATGTGGACATCCCCTGGGGGATGATTTTTCACTTTCTTGCCCTCTCCCTCTCTGGTGAACACACACACTCTATAGCAAAAACAAAAACAAAACCAAAACAAAACAAAAATACACTTTAAAAAATTATTTTATTTATTCATTCATTTATTTTAATTTGACCAGAGAGAGACAGAAAGACAGAGAAAGAGAGGGAAAGTGAGAAAGCAAGCTACCAGGTCTGGGACTCAAACCATGGTCAGCCATGTGGAAGTGTCCAGCACCACACCACCTGCTGGTCCCCAAGAACAGAAACTTTTATAATAAAATAAAAATTAAAGAAGAGTATCTATTGGCAAAAGCACAAGGTATTTGTCTATAACACTTTTTTTTAACTAGGAAAATGAGCCCTTCCTGTCTTTAACATCTATATAAGATGTACAGCATTTGGTATGGTCAGGGTGGAAGAGATAACACCACCAAGTAGTGAGGACATACAAATTTATCCTGACATGAAAATATAAAACCTGCCCTAAGTTAAATGCCAAGGGAGTAAATCCTCAGACAATGCGGTCCTAGGCAGACAGTTCCCTTTACTATTAGGTAGGAAATGTGGAAATAGGGCTAACCCCATGGCTTAGTGGTTATAGGAGCCAGATCTGTGGCTGACCATGAGATTTGAGTCCTGACAGCTTGAAAAACACACCAGGTGCCCACATGCGTGTGCGCATGGGCCCCAGATCTGACAGAATGAAAAACTGTAGAAAGGACTGTGGCATGACCATGACCCACTGGAAAGAATCTCCCCAGCCCCCCATACATGTGCCCTCTGGTTTAAAAAAGGTGAAAAGAAAATGT